GCCTTTGGCTCAGGTCATGATCTCTGGGTCGTGGAATTGAGCCCCACATTGGGCTCCCTGCTCAGCGGGGAGTCTGCTTCCCCCTCTCCCTCTGCTCCCCCACTTCATGCACTCTCTCTAGTAAATAATATCTTTAAAAAATTAGTTTTGACAGTGTTATCTAGATATAGAAAAATGTTATCTATACATAGTATGGCCGTACACATAACATAAACATACAGACAGACACAGAGACCCTATAGCCCTAATAGTAAAATTTATCCACGAATCTGGTAAAACAAAATGAAACTCTCTTGTTTACAAATAACAGTTAGGTTCAAATTGTGTCTGTGGCAGATGGAACAATTTATGGTTACCTACCCGAAGGGCCAAAAGCTTTCAACTAGTATTTGTGGAGAGGACTTAAGATTTGTGTTTGTCAAGTTTTCTCATGGAGGGTGAGGCCTGTATTTGGGATGAGGAAGTTTCCAGAGCCCTCTGGATTTCACAAAGCTCAGATGAGTGTGGGTACTGCTTTAGTTCTCTCTCCCAGGAGGCTTACATTTTAAAGATATGATCAAATTTACATTTTCAAGGGACAGAGAGACAATGTTTTGGCATATGTTTATTATCAGAAGTCCAGAGTAATTACTGTTTAAATTTTCTCTTTGTCTTAGGGGTCAGGCGACATGGGGCAGTTCCATCTGTTCACTGTCAATCAGCATAACCTCCTCCCCTTTGCTATCCTCATTTTGTCAGTGACTCTACCTCTTATTCTACCTCCGATTCCCCATCAGGATTTGTCAGAGGGTGCAGACCTTACTCTGTGGACCTTGTGTCTTCCTGCTTTGTAAAATGGCACGCTGAAGTCTCCACCTATCCTGCTCTCCTGCCTGTCTGCCAGCCCCAAAGCTAGCAGAGTGGTGGACAGCTGCACATCCTTTGCTAACCTGGGTTCTTGTAACTTTCTAACTCAAGCTTCAGACTCTGGTTAGGCATCAGTGGCCCACCCAGCTGCCCACAATACAACCCAGCCCACAGCAGTAGCCACTCACATCCCTTCTTTGCTGCAGTGCTGTGCAGTTTCTCAAACAGCCAGCATTGTCAGCGTTTCCTCATACTCCTGTGGCAGTTGGTAAACATCTAACATGTGGGCCATCCCTCCCCACAGAGGCTCATGGCTAACCTGGAATGTCCCCTGACAGATGCCTTGTTCCCAAGTCTAATTTCTTTGGTCTCCTGACTGACTGACTGACTGACCAATTGTCAGTTTGTTACCTCAGGAGTTTCCTGGATGAAATTCAAAACCAGCCCTTACACATGGAAGCAGGAAAAGACCAAAGAAAGAGGCAGACCAGTCTAGGTTGGTGGGTGGCAGTTTTAATAAGCAAGGGAACTTACTTGTTTAATAAGCAAGGGAACTTACCCAAGGCTTGTCTTGAATGACTACAGGATGAGTGGATCCCCACATCAACACATAAGAACCTTACAGGTTTCTATAGAGGCCTTAATAGGATTCAGTCCCTATTCATTCTGGATGGTCTCAATGACCCATTGCTCTCTCAAAATGGTATACCTGAAGTGGCTCGTAACATGGGAACAGGAGGCAGAATGTGCATTCTGAGGATAAAAACAGAGAGTAACAAATGCCCAGTTCCTTGGGGTTCAGCTGCAGGTCAGACAACAGTCACGTCCTCTCAATGACCTTCTCCAACAATTCCTATTAATACTGTGTTTACTCCTATTAGTATCCAACACAGCCTTCATGATACCAGTCAATTAAACAACAGAGGGGAAAAAAGTTTTAAGAAATAGGAAGAGGAAAAGTTGTTATTGTTGGCAGAGGCTATAATCATATTTATTATAACAAAAACAAAAATCAGGATTTGATTAGAATTGGAGATTGCAGCACGTTCACCAGATATTAGATCAATGGGCAAAACTCAGTAGTGTTTTTTATGAAAAATATCATAAAGATATTGTATATTTTTAACCATGTTACAGTTTTATTTTTAGTTTAAATTATCAATAGTGTAAAAAGGCTCAGACTGGGAGAAATTATTTTCAGATTACATATCTGATAAAGGATTAATATCCAGAATATATAAAGAACTCCTTCAGTTTAAAAACAAAGGATAACCTGATTTAAGAATGGGCAAAAGACCTGAATGGACATACCTCAAAAACTATATAAATGGCCAAGAAGCATGTGAAAAATTAAACGTAGGGCAGCCTGGGTGGCTCAGTGGTTTAATGCCTTCAGCCCATGCTGTGATCCTGGGGATGTGGAATCAAGTCCCACGTCAGGCTCCCTGCATGAAGCCTGATTCTCCCTCTGCCTCTCTCTCTCTCTCTTTCTCTGTCTCTCATGAATAAATGAATAAAATCTTTAAAAAAATAAATGCAAAAGCCAAACATATTAAATCAAAACCACAATGAGATATCACTTCACACCCATTAGGATAGCTATTATAAAAATTTTTTTAAATCAGAAAATAACATGACATGAACATGGAGAAACTGGAACCCTTTGCATTGTTGGTGATAATGTGGAATGATGCAGCCACTGTAGACAACAGTATGACCATTCGTAAGCAAATTGAACATGAACTTATCACTTGACCCAGCAATTCCCCTTCTGAGTATATACACAAAAGGATTGAAGCAAAGACTGTCACAGATATTTGCTCACCCATGTTCATAACAGTACTATTCACAATACCAAGGGATAGAAACAACTCAACTGTCTACTGCAGAAAAATGGATATTATTCAGCCATAAAAAGAAAGGAAATCTGTCACTACAGCACAGATGAACGAACCTTAAGGACATCATGCTGAGTGAGATAAGCCAGTCACAGAAGGGCAAATATTGTAAGGATCCATTTATATGAGGTACAAGAAAAGGTAAATTGATAGGAACAGAAATTAGAGTAGAGATTACCAGGGCCTGGGGGGAAAAGGAATGGGGAGTTATTGTTTGATGGGTACAGAGTTTCAGTATGAGATGATGGAAGATTCTAGAGATGGATGGTGGGGATGGTTGCACAAAAATTAAATGTATGTGATGCCATTTAATTGTACACTTAATGGTTTAAAGTGGTAAATCATATGACATTACATATATTTCACCTAATAAAATGGGTTCTTAAAATTATTCCTCACAGTTTTTCAGGACCTTCTAAAAAGCTTCAAATATCCAATGGCATGCCTACTATCATAGAACCATTCCACATCCTACGATATGTGCATAGATGGGGTATCCTTCCTGAACATTCTCAGCTAAGCTATCAGTGGCTAGAAGGATAGAGAGGAGAACAGGTAAAAAAAAAATCCCTGATCTTTTCAAAACTAGTAACATTTCCAATAAATAAAATCCTTAAGGAAATGTTTAACCATATAGATAAAGAAACATTTATTTGAAAATAAAAAATAAAATAGCATAGGGATGCCTGGGTGGCTCAGTGGTTGAGCATCTGCCTTTGGCTCAGAGCAAATCCCAGAGTCCTGAGATAGAGTCCCACATCAGGTTTCCCACAGGAAGCCTGCTTCTCCCTCTCCCTCTGCCTATGTCTCTGCTTCTCTCTGTGTGTCTCTCATGAAAAAATAAATAAAATCTTAAAAAAAGGAAAATAGCATAAAATTTTCATCTAATATTTTCAAATGGAGAAAACACATCAATGACCAGAATGTATCAACATATAAACTCTCACAGAAGCTATTTGAGGTATATATTGATTCAGCCTTTCTTGGTGAGCCATCTGGCAATATATGTTAAAAATATCAATATAGGGGCACCTGATGGCTCAGTCAGTTAACTGTCTGCCTTCGGCTCAGGTCATGATCCCAGGGTCCTAGTATCGAATCCCATGTTGGGCTCCCTGCTCAGCAGGGATTTTGCTTCTCCCTCTGCCTCTCCTCCAGCTTGTGCTCTCTCTCACTCTGCTCTCTCTCAAATAAAAAAAATGTTTAAAAATCAATGTATGTGTCCTAGAATCTCTTATTCTAGGAATGAATTCATTATAAGGAAATAGTCAAAGAAGTGTACAGATTTGTGCACAAGGAACTTTATTTATAGCAGCATTATTTATAATCATAAAACAGCAATAATCTGAATTCCATCAATAGAATAGCTTCATAAACCATGGTGCAACAATGTTATGTTTCAATGGAAAGACATGAAGACAGACTTAAAAAGCAGAATGAGAAGACAACTCTCTTTTTAACTTTTGATTTGAGTTTAAATTTTAAAATATAGTATTTCAATACTATGTATTTATATAAAGGACCATAATGCATCAACATTTTTTTTAATTGGAGTTCGATTTGCCAACATATAACACCCAGTGCTCAAATGCATCAACACTTAATCATTGTTAACCTATCTGTGTGGTCAAATTCTATAGAATGATAAGTTCTACAAGAAGCCTATATTATTTTCATACAAAGAAAACAAACATTATGAAAGACAAAATAAGCTAGAAGGAAGAACCTAACAATCAATCACCCTTTGTGCTCCTCTGTGACCTGCATGATCTGGACAAAACAGGAGGGTGACAGGAACCAGGGAGAGGAATACATCCTGCCTAAAGTGCACCTGTTTGATGTTTGTTTTAGTAAATTTATCATTTGAAATTATACAGCTTTCTTTCTACTCTGCTCTTCATTAGGACCCATTTACTATTTAGTTTGTAATGTATGCCATATTTGGAGGTAGTTACCTGGATATTCTAAAGTTTTCCTGTTGGAACAATCAGACTTACAAAAAAGTTGGTAGAAGAAAAAAGTGTCAATTTATGCTTCAAATAAATAATCGTTTTGGACAATTGCAGGTACATTCTCTGCTCCTCTTAGAAAGGTAACTCTCCCTGAAGTCTGATAAGGTAGCTACTTGCTAATGCATGTGAAAGAAAGATGTTCTGTGATGATTTACAAACAATTTTGAAGGTTAAACCTCACTAAGTAACCAGATAAATTTTGGGTCTCTTGTTCACTGTGGAAAAATACTCTTTCCTTGTTAAGGTGAAGATTTGAAGGACATTCCAACCGAGAAGACACATTCTTCATATTCAAAAGTTTCTGTCAAGTTCAAGAATACAAAAAAGAGGTCAGTTACATTCCACATACATGCTTAAGTACCTACTAGATCCCAGACACTTAAGCAAGCACAGGATTACTTGTCAAAAAACCAGGACTTTTGTGACTTCAGAGTAACAAAATCCACTTAAATTTATTTTATTGCAGCTTAGATAGAGTCCTTGTGTATTTAATATGAGATCATTAGATTTTGATGCCAACTTAAATGGATAATATGAATACATTTATGCAGATTCTGTACATAATTGAGAAAGGAATAAAACTGACATGAGTTTATTTCATGAATCTGCCATTTATGAGCTGAGAATTGTTGATCCAGTTACCAATTTATTTTTAAGCTTTGGTTTTCTCATTTATAAAACTAGATAATAATGCAATGTGCTACATGTCTAGAATAGTGCCTGGTACATAGTAAGTGCTCAATAGATTATAGCTACAGAAATTACTATCTCTACAAAGTCTGCCATTTTACAAAAATGGACAGGAGAGCCACAGCTGAGGCCTTTCTACATTCCATTAAAAGGTACGAGGCCCTGACACATTCACGTCACATTTTCTTTTAAATGACAACATTTCAATATGGTTTTTACTCTGCCTGTCAACTCTGCCTTCAATTCCACACTGTTTCCTGCCTGTCCTGTAGCAAGAGTCTCCCAGTTGGTTTTCCCAGTTCTTCCAGCCCATTCTCAACATGGCAACAATAAATTATTTTAAATTTTTATTAGGCTGTGAGTAGCCATAAAAGAATATTTGTGAAGTATGTGCAAGATATAAGGAATAATACACAATCATCCCTATATACACCACACAATTCTAAAAAAACTTTATAATCTATCTTTGAAGTCCTCTGTGTACCTATCTAGATCTTATGCCATCTCATCATTGGAGGTGACTACTAACCTGGATTTTGTGTTTATCAGTATATTTCCAAACAATATATTTTTCACCTTTGCATGTTTTTAAACTTTAGTAGAATAACTATGTTCTTGTATGACTTACATTTTTTTGTTCAGTGTTATGTTCCTATAATTAATTCATTGGATATAAGGATTCTTCATTCATTTCACTGCTGTCTAATAGGCCATTGTATAAATATGTTACAACTTACAACCTGTTGATAGACATATATGTTGTTTTCAATTTTTGTTATTATAACTGCTACCATGATTAATATGCTTGTACATGTCTTCTGGTATTTATATGCAGACATTCAATTTTTTAAAAAACATACACTACAATAAATAAATAATAAATTAGAATGTTTCTTTTTTTAGAGGCGTTTAATGCGCCTCCTTTTAGAGGCATTTCATGATTTCCTATTACACTAAGAATGGAAGAAAAGAAGCCGTGATAGAGCACGAAAGCCCTGCCCATTGCTGCATTCACTACACGGGCTTCGGGGACACAGGCTTTTTGTTGTAGTTCCTCACTAGCCTTGATCCTTTGACCTCATGGTCTTGGCACATGTGTCCTTCTGCTCAAAATGTTCATCATCCACCATTTTGCCAAATCTCACTCAGTCGTCCTGTCACGTGTCCACAGAGGCTGTCCCTGCTTCCCACTGCTCCTCACGGCATGTTTACCTATTCCTTACACACATCATGGCTTAGTAAGCATGTTCTTGTTCTGGAGATAAGGGAGCGTGTCCAGAGTAACTGGTACATAGTAGGGATGCAGTAAATACTCACTGAATGAACTATTTATTACACCTGACTAGAAATTTAAATAGAATTGTACATGTGCATTTTACATTAATGATTGCCAATAAGTTTTAGTTCAGTGATACATTTTTAGGGTTTTCATAATTTAGAATTAATTTTATGATAATGCTAAATCCTGAACTATTTTAAATGCCTTGAAATCAAGCCCAGACCTCTCATTCAGTCCCGTCACTGTCAGCCCTGACTCATAGAATCTCAGGGCCCCACCGACCAGGGTGATCTTGTTGGCCCAGCCTGGATGGACAAGACTCCCCCCAGACTCACATTACCTGGCTTTAGCCAGGTTAAACTAAATCAGCCTCTAGAACTTGGTTGAGAGGAGTACAGTACATTTGCTTCTGTTTTTGTACATGAAATGGAGAATTACCAGATAATCTCCCAAAAGAAGGGTAAACTCTCAATTAATAAATTGATGTAATAAAACAAAAGTGAATCATGTGTACTAAATAAATGAAATAAAAGTTAACTGCAAACCTCCTACAGAAATGGTACTTTAAAAATAGTAGCAGTGCATAATAGTAGCATGATTTATCATAGAAAACTATACATTAACCTTAAAACATTTGTGTCAATACCTATTTTAATTTTTAATAATGAAACTTTGATATGATATTGAAATCATTGAACTTTCTTCTAAAATTCTTAATTTTCACAGTGTCTACCCTAGAGCTGAAAATACATGGTATCTGGAGAAGAATCCTGATAAATTAAAAATAATGATTCAAAAGCTCTTCGTATTTGCATTTACATGGGCATTTGGAGGAACTTTAATGCGTGAGGATGAGCATGAAGATGACACAGTACTTTATTCAAGCCATGAGTCTAGTTCGCCTGCCAAAGTGACCTATGATTTTGACAATCTTGTGCATGAATTATTTGAAAGCAATCCACAAGTAGGTAAGTTCTGGGGAGCAGCAGTCATAATTATGTTTACTTTAGAGTATTACTTTGGGGGCATCTGGGCAGCTCAGTTGGTTAAAATTTTTTTACAAAAGAGGAGCACCTGGGTGGGCTCAGTTGGTTAAGTGTCTGACTCTTGATTTTGGCTCAGGTCGTAAGCTCATGTTGTGAGATGGATTCTCTCCTTCTGCCCACCCCCCTAAAAAATTCGTTTGAGACTCTTTATGGTTGGGCTCATATTAAAAGGCTCATCTTTTAAACTGTGAGATAAAAGATAAAAGCACACTCCAGTACCCTTAACTCCAGCAAAAAGAGGCTGAAGTAACTTAGATTACTGGTTGATTCTTGTTTCAAAGGAAATTGTAACACAAGTAGGTGGAAGAACAAAGATAAAGCCTTGAAACTATGACCTCAGCCCAGTTGAGCTCATCAGCCCTATAAGCTGGATCTGTGTTATACATATCATCACACACCAGGAAATTATGTAGTTTGTTTCATTTACTTTCTAAAGACTAAAATTTTTTAAATTATTTTATGAAGTTAGATTTATTACATGTGTTTTTTTTAGTCAGTTCTAACAAATGGAATCCTAATATTCTGAAAGAGTAAGCCTTCCCAATTTGTTGTTACTGATTAAAGGAAGTGTGAACAGATGAAAAGATCCTTGGTGCAGGTACCAAAAAGACTCATAATACTGGACATGAATATATTTAGAAGAACTTTGTTAAATAAAGATGAAAGCTAAAAAAAATTTACCAAAATTACAAATTCTACCGGTTTATATGATGTGATTCTTGAGGTATCCTTTTGAAGTTATTTGTAAAGGCTCTATTTAAGGTATCTTTAATCACAAAGTTGTATGTTATTTCCTATGCAAATTAACTATTTTTTAAAGGCTTTATTTGAGAGAGAGAATGAGAACAAGTGGGGGTGTGGGGAAGGAGCTGAGGGAGAAGCAGACTCCCCACTGAGTGAGGAGCCCGAGGCAGGGCTCAATCCCAGGACCTCAAGATCATGACCTGAGCCAAAGGCAGATGCTTAACCAACTGAGCCACCCAGGTGTCCTGGAAATTAACTTTTAATATCAAAGCATTGCATGTTAATTTGTTGTTGAACTTAGTGGTTCAACTTGATGTTGCTAACTTTGAAGATAAATAAACTGCCTTGATTTTTCAGGCAGAAAAACCCCAAATTCTGTTATTTCTTCTCCCTGTGAACCTAAAGACAAATCAGTAAGTTATATGTTTTGTTAGATTGTTAATCTTAAAATGATGAATAAGAAATTGTGTTTTGTCATCTGAGGTACCATAGGAAAGCTACACTGGAGCACAGATGTAGGAATGAAAGGAGACGCAGGTGGTAGCAGTCATTAAAAAAAGTACAAAACCATCAAAATGAAAATAAGAGAAGAAAAGAGAGTCCATAAACCTCCCACCTGCAGTCATCCTGCAAGTAAAATTGTAAAACACAAAATAATTCAGACAAAACAGTATACCAATAAAATCACCTATCATAATATGAACTCATTCCAGATGAAATTATTATAGCCTAGCAGAGACTTTAATATAAGTGTCTTTAGGGTTCTTTTTTTGGAAAGATAAAGAGATGGATCAATTTTTAAATAAATAAGCATATATGAAGCAAAAAAAAAAGTAGAAACGAAGACAACATATGGCTATGAGAAAAGACCAAATAGAAATTCTGTAATCATTCAAGTAAAAGTCGGTAGTCTGGATCAACTCTACTCTTGGCACCATCAAAGAAAGAATTTGTAAATTAAAACCTAGGAAAAAATGTTTTCAACTTTTCTTCATATTGACTTTGCCTGTTTCTTATTAAGTTTAATCGTAAAAATTTCATCTGTTTTTTTGTGGGTTTGCACTTGCCATTACAAATGGTAATACTGCAAGGGCTTCCCCATGATGTATGGTCCTGGTTTTGTTGTTGCTAAGCTCTTCTGTCTCACTTCTGGAAGGTCTGTTTGGGTCCTTTTCAAATAGGCTGTGTCACTTTTTAGAATTTTTTGTTCTTCATAGGTACTTTCCATCTTGCTTTTATTTAAACATAGTAAACATAGCTGTCTTAGAATATGCATCTGATAATTCTAGTCATTCAAGTCTTGTTAATTGGTGGCTGTTACCTTGTTTCTGCTAGTTACCTTTAACTAATTATTAAATTTGTGAAAATTATCTGTGTGGTTTAGGATAACAGTTCCATTCTATAGACGGTATATCCACTGCAACCATCATAGCTAAAGATTAGATCAGGCAAGAACATCGATGGATGTTAAACTTAGGGCAGAATCTGATGAGGACAGGTTAGTCCCTCATCTGACACTGTTTCCTCACAAACTAGTTCTTAGTTGCAAGAGATAAAACAACAGAGAAAGAGAGCAAAGGACGAATGTTCGAATGAACCCTCTTGTTGGATGATGATAGAGCAGAATAATGGCTTCCCTGAGCTTCCCACATCCTATTCCTTGGGACCTGTCAGTATGCTATCTCATAGCACAAGGGAGTTTGAGGGTGTGATTAAGTTAAGGAGCTTGAGATGGGATGATTATCCTGGGTTATCTTACGGGGGCCAATGTAATTACATGAGTCCTTAATGATGGAAGAAGGAGGCAGGAGTGTAAGGAGGAAAGCAGAGCTTGAAGTGACACAGTTGTGTGGTTGCTGGCTTTGAAGATGGAGGAAGAGATCCCAAGCCAAAGACTGACAGTGGCTGCCCTAAGCTGGAAAGGGCAAAGAAAGGGATTCTCCTTGAGAGCCTCCAAAGGAATGCAGTCCTGCCAACACTTTGATTTTAACCCAGTGCAAACAGATTGGACTTCTGACCTCTAGAACTGTAAGAATAAATCTGTGTTGTTTTAAGGCCCCTAAGTTGGTGTAATTTGCTACAACAGCAATAGAACACTTACAGAAAGGCTTTATTAGTCTGAACTCATGCTTTCCTTTCTTGATAAACATGTGGACAGATGCAGAAATAAAATAGATGTGTATGTATTTGTTAGTATACATAGATCTATTTCTCAGTTCTTCACTTGCATCACCCTCCCCTTGGCAGCACAGCCCACTGCCAGGGAGGCCCATTTTTCTTTAGCCCCATATAAAGTACTGAATTGTGAACTACCTGACTGTAGGTCAGTGAGTGGCTTGGAGGACAGCAGCCAGGGCTCAGAATGGAACATATTAAAGAGACACAAATCCTACTAAACAGCTTTAGGACTCCCAACAGGAGGTCTTCCCATGAGCTGCTGGTGACACCTTGCCTGAGGATACCCTGAACTGGCCCATGGGCTCCCCAGCACTGCATTAGCCTCACCCATAAACACCCTTAACTAGGTGCCCTGTGTGCATCCCAGACGGGAACAGAAGTGAGCCTTTACAGATGGCTAGTAGAGAACCAGGCTAACTATAGGATTGAGAGAGACGACACAAACACAGCACCCAGCACCACCCTAGGGAAAGCAACAAGGAGGCTGTCAGCACCTGGCCTGGCCTGGCCAGATGGAGAGAAGGCATACATGCCTAAACATCACCCAACAGGAGAGAACAAGAAGTGTGGGACAAGAATACCCATAGAAAATACTTTAGAATCCTTAACAGTTGAAGGGAGTTATTTCTGTCTCTCCCACAGCCAGTAAAGACTGGAGAAGACTGCCTCTTCAAATGCGGAGACCACCAAGAAGGACTTCAAGAAACCTGAAAAACTGAGGAAACGTGACAACCAAAGGAGTCCAATATTTCTCTAGTAACTGACCCCAAAGAAACAGAGATTTGTGACTTGCGCAATAAAAAAATTCAAAATAGTTTTTTTGAGGAAGCCCAATGAGCTAAAAGACAACAGTGGAAAGCAATTCAATGAAATTAGGAAAACAATACATGAACAAAATGAGAAGCTTAGCAGAGAGACAGGAATCAGAGCAGAACCAAACAGAAGTTATGGAGCTGGCGAATACAGTGAATGGAATAGAACATCAACAGCCAAATGGATCAAGCAGAGGAAAGAGTCTCCAAGACAGAAAACAGGTCATTTGAAGTTATCCTCTTACAGAAGAAAAAAGAAAAAAGAATGAAGAAAGGCTATGAAATGTGCAACATCATTTTTTAAAATGTACACATTATGGGAGTCCTAGAAGGAGAAGAGAGGGAGAAAGGAGCAGAAACCTTATTTAAAGAAATAATGGCTGAGCACTCTGAATCTGGGAAGGGATTTAGATACCTTCAGAGATCCCCCCCCCTCAGTAATTTCAACCCAAAAAATGTTCTCATATACATTATAATAAAAGCTGTCTAAAGAAAGAGAATTTGAACACAGGCAAAGGAAAAAACTGCCTACATACAAGGAACCCCATAAGGCTCAGCAAATTTCTCAGCACAAATCTTGCAGGCCAGGAGAGAGTGGGATGATCTATTCAGGGTACTGAGAGAAAAAACTGCCAACCAGGAATACTTCACCCTGCAAAGTTGTCCTTTAGAAATGAAGGAGAGGAGTACCTCAGTGCCTTGGTTGGTAAAGTGTCTGCCTTCTGCTCAGGTCATGATTTCAGGGTCCTGGGACTGAAGGCTGCATTGGGCTCCCTACTCAGCTTCTCCCTCTCCCTCTGCTCTTCCCCCTGCTGGTGCTCTCTCTCATGAGCTTGCTCTCTTCTCTCTCTCTCTCAAATAAATAAAATCTTTAAAAAAAGAAGAAGAAGAAATGGAGAAAGACTTTCCCAAACAAATAAGCTGAGGAAGTTCATCACCACTAGAAATGCTAAAAGGAGTTCTGCAAACTGAAGTGAAAATCTTACTTAGTAGCAGGAAAACATGAAATTATAAAACACATTGGTAAAGGTAAGCATATAGTCAAACTCAGATGCTCTAATACTGTAATGTGGTGTGTGAATCACTGAATTCTAGTATAAAAATTAAAACACAAAAACATTAAAATTTCTATAGCTACTTAGATGTATAATGGATACACAGTATAAATGGAGGTAAATTGAGACATGG